ATCACTGTGTCTGTCACGCGACTCTGTTCCCCTTTCGGGCTCTGTCTTTACATTTATTTTGAAAGATGAAGCTTGCGATTATGGTAAGGGGCGTTACATTTCCGACGAGTGCTTGCGGTGTTCGGCCAATCACAATGCACTGGGTCAGCTGGCCAATCAGAGCAGACTGCGCTTGTCGGAAGGAGGGACTTTGTAGAAAACGAAGCGTTTGAGAGAGGCGGGGCATAGAGGACCTACAATAATGTACAGTATTTGAAAAATAATGTGTTTTTTGAACATTAAAGCATGTCAACATATTCTGTTACACCAAATACACAAAATAATGATCTTTAAAAAAGCATCATATGACCCCTTTAAACTTTTCTGGAAAAAAAAAAACCCGCCCTACATCAAGCTCCTTTTTGACAGCTGACCAATGACAAGCGAGTAGCAAGACCAGTCGTTTCCATAACAACAAGAACAACAAGAAAAAAAGTGCCGGTAGATAGACTTATCGTACTAGTTTCGGAGCACAAGGAGTTGCATGATATGAGCACAAAACTCTATCATAATACACATCATACTATTTCCTTCCCGTATAATATCGTGCACCCACAAACGTCATTGTGAACCGACATTCTCCTCCTCGTTAACTTCAAAAGCCAACGCAAGAGCCAACTTAGGCTACTGTTGCAGCTGTTGTTATAGCAACAAAAGACACCCTCGGCTGCTATGTGTAACCAAAATGCTGACAGTTTTTTTTTTTACTAAAAACGCCCTTGTCAACTTTTTCTTGTGAAAAAAGACACCAAGTGTGAACACGCCCTAATTCTTCAACTCATGAACCAAACCAACCAGCTCTGAGATGAACCACGACATTGCACACTGAAAAAAGCAGAAAAGTATATGACAATCAGGAGAAAAGACGAAAGTTCTAGGCTGTGCACTTAACTTCTCTTTATGAACTACATGAACTACAACTTTTGAAGCGTTGCAAATTATGTAATCAAATAATAATGGTAGTACAATATACCACTTTGAAATACAACGAGACACAAGGACAGAAGTATAATATGCTATATCTTATCAAGATGGTAATGGTATTTGATTTTTTTAATGAATTTTATTATATTTGTCTCAGTGTTCGATTTGCTTTGACTTTCATACCTCCCTTTAAAGATTCAAAATGTTGCAATAAAAACACAAACACAGGCACCGTAGAAAGTAGCCTACTTGTAAATATGAAGATCGAAGCACTTGAAGTAAATATGCTAGAAAACCTAGCTCTTTCAAGAACATGCATCTTAAATGTGTCATAAGTGCCTTAAATGCTGACTGTTGGCTCCAACAAAAGCCTCCACAATTGATTAATAACCTCTGCTCTCATGGTAGATCCGTTTCAAAAGGGTTCTACAGAATTGTTAAAAATTGATTTCTCTATGAGGAAAATGAATGAGATTTTTACTTCCAGAACCCAACCTGTGCATTCTTTAGAGATTTAAACGTACACTCATTTCCCTGCAGCTAAAGAGGGAGAGAAAGATCGTCTGAAGAGATGGAGCACAGAGCTGCAGCAGGAAAGAGAGACGCTGGAGCACAGAATCGGACAGCTCAGCGACTCTATAACGGTGAGAGAATTCTTAAGTTCATATCCACTTTTGTCTGCACAATGAGTCATACCACCGAAATTACAAATCAAACCGATGCATTCATTTATTATTCCGTACCTCCAAAAGGCCACTAACTATATAATGATGAGATTTTGGTTGTATGAGTCAGCAGCACTGTGTCCTCTCTCCCTGCACAGAGCTGTGTGGACAGCAAGAACAGCGTACTGGCCCAGCAGAGAGAGATGGAGGCTTCGCTTGAGAAAACGAGAGGGCTGGTGTGTCTGATCAGAGGGATCCAGTTGTCTCCCTTCATCTGCCCTGAGGTCATGGCTAATGGAGAAACCTCGCACAATGGAGCTTCCAAATCCAGTGCGGTCACCACAGACACAAACAACAACACAAATACCCCAACAAGCTCCTCAGAAGCGACGGTGATAATTAGCACCCTCACAAACACGAGCGATACCTTAAAGCAGATCGCCACGAATAACAACCCAGAGGCTGCCGGTGCAAAGAGCGATGAGGGCAGAGGGGAGAGCGCTCAGATCAACAGCACATCCAGAATCAAGGGCGAACCCACAAATATAAACGCCGCAGCCTTCAGCAATAACAGCAGCAACCAGGCGGTTCTCAGTACCAATGGAACTGTGTCCACAGGAGAGGAGAATACAAAAAAACATAAAAACAACAAAGACCTCAGCGTCATCCCGCAGGCCCTCCTCGGCTCAATCGTGCCCCTTACAGAAGTGACAGAGGGGGTGAAATAGCATCGACTACCACGCCACAGTTGGGGCCCAAAGCGTGCCAGTTAACAGTGTTGTTGTTTCGTGTTGTCGTTTCATCCCTTGTATCTATGAGGGAAAGAAAATCCATCGTGCCATTTACTACATGCAGGAAGGAGGTTCCTAAAGTACCAGCAATGTGTATGCTCACGTATGCACACCGAAAAGATTTCTACAAAGAATAATGATATAGAAAAGAGTAATAAAATTTAAAGATATCACACCATTGTGTGCCTGATACAGTTGCCATAGCACCTCTGAGTGGGAAAGCTTCTGAAGGCTGGATCGGGGTGAAGGTCTCGTCCTGCTAGATGAGTAGTGCAGCTTCCTATCAGGTCCTGTAGCTCTGATCTAAAACATAAGATATGACGTGTTGAGGAGTTCAGTGTCCGTTTTGTCTGTGAAACACAACTGAGGTGCAGTTGTTTCGTCTAGTTTTCAGTTGTTGTGTCTCCAGGGCAGAACATGGAGCGCAAAAACAGGTTCTTTGTCACACACTGACAGAAATACAGGTCTTCCAGGCGTTCTTCTGGAGGTTTAACTATTTTCATTTGCATTTGTCTATTTTGTGGTGTTTTTGAAAAACCGAAACATTTCTGTAAATATGTTTTGCTATTTTTTACATATGACCTTATTTATAATTTTCTTCTTTCTTACAAAAATATTCCGTAATTCTGTTCTGCCAAATAATCGATGCCACAGGGAACTGTTCTTTTACGTTACTCGGAACATTAGATAGATATTTAAGAGTAGTAGAATAGTATTTGTAGTGTCAGTCCTGAAGTGAGGTCTGTGAGGTAAATTCTGACCATGCCTTATCTACTGAACAGATGTGATTTATTGAGAGCGCAGTTCAGGCGCCGTCACAGAAGGGAATGATTTGAGATGTCTCTCACATCACTCTCACTCCATTTCCACATTCAGAGGATTTTTTATTTACCCAGACTGTAGCAGGGGTCTCATGCCTTGTCCAACGACTTAGGAGGAATCGTGCAGTCAGAAATATCCCATAAAACCGCTATGCCAGTAACGTTACACTTATGGGCCAATTTAAGGGCTTCTGTTCTGTATCATTTTAACACACTTTACTACACTGTTCTGTAAACCTCTCCAAAAGCACAACACAGCAGGCGTACGTTATACGTGCCTAGCGCAACTACTTTACCATTGTCTCTTAGGGGCTCTTCTGTTATCGCTTTATTTACCTTTTGCATTTCTCTAACCGTATCAGAGCTCTCGACGCTCTCTCACTGCTGTGCATTTCACAGTGTGTGTCTGCACATGAACAAGCACAGACAAACACCAGAACCAGACCAGTTCTAACATCTGAGATACAGCAGCCGTAGCTTGAACACTGTATCATGTGCACAGACGACACTTCCAGTGTGTTTTTTTTGTTTTTTTTTTTAAAGAAAAAAGCACAAGAAATAATCCAGAAACACAATAGTGTCAAACACACTTTTGATAAAAGACAGAAATATCTAGTGTTTATATCTTCATTTCAGGTTTGTGTGTTTTCAATGCTGAACATGCAGCTCTGGCCTGCTGTAGCCTCTGTGTATTGGTTGCCTTAAGTTCTATAGACTATGTTAGGCTGTTTCATCGTAGTGTTATGACTTGTTGGTGTCTTAGAGTCAGTTGTCAGCAAAACGTGTGTGTATTTTTCCCTTTTCGGAAACAACCTACTTTATCATCCAGTGTGTGATCATTCAGGTTGTGTTAGTGAGGACAGTGCCTGCGCTGCCTATAGTGAGTCTGACCACTACTCATAAGAACTCTTGCACCTTACATCAAAACATAAAATAATTTGCTGGTATGTTTATGAAAACACTTTACTTTTAGTTAAACCATTCCATCCCAGGCTGATGATCTGGGTATCTGCCCCTCATTTTATATCGCATCTGCATTTTCACGAGTTTTCAACAATCGCAGAAGTATTGTCTGATAGAAGTTAATACTAAAACATATTTCATCACAATTGCGAAAATTCCAAAGTGACGTAAAGAAGCTGAGTTCTGTTTGGTGGTTTAATGGTATGTCAGATTTTCTAGTGCATTGAAAAAAGAAAGCAAAGGGAAAATAGCCCTTACGTAAATGCTCATCAGATGTGACATTTGCAAATGTCATCTCCCGTCCTTTAGGGGCCAAGAATCCTGAGGCCAGACGTGGTTAGTAGGACTGACAGTGCTTCGGTGACAGATGTTCTCTGATGAGATAGATGGGAGTCTACTGTGTCTCCCCATTCATGTTCCTTACACATGAGAATTGGGTATTGTGTCCTGAAGTGTGTGAAATCTGATCTCTTCAGATATTAATAGTGTTTACCGAGAGCTCAGGCTTTTGTTCATGTTTTCAAGATACGCATAGTAATGTTTTTGAAGATTCACGTTCTTACACCTCATGCTGTTACCTCATTCAGGTTGATGAAACCCTTAAGTAAAATCAAGGATAGATTATTGCAATGTGAAAATATCAGTGCTTAATCTAATGTCCTTAACTATAAATTAAGAACACAATTTACTTGTTTGTTGTAAAAAAAAAAAAAAATTGTCTGATTCTTTCATAATAGTTTTTAAAAGGGATGTGTATTGCTCTTTTGTTTCATTTTACTTTTCTACATTTTGTATGTTTTGTTTCTTAATCTTGTGTGTTGCCTGATGTCCGTTTACCTTTTCTCATAGAAGTCCATGTGTAAGTTATTTGAATATATAACTTAATGAATTCTTTCTGTTGAGGAGGCTGGATATTACTGGAGCATTTGATCAATTTGTATTTATTTATTTTTACCATTTTTGCTAAATAAAATTGTAAATTAAACAGTCTGTTTTTCTCTCTAAGATCTGCTTTACATTAAAGCAGCAAATGAATATTAACACTCATTCTAATTAACATTTAAACAACAAAATTAATAATACAACATTTAGCATTACGATACAATGTCCTGTAACCCATTTTGGAAACAATTTACTCCACAGAGTGGATTGTGCACACTGCCAGGACGCAGTAAGTCTAAAAACAGCTGTGTAAAATAGAAACACACCATATATTTGGTTCTGTTCCCTCATGATATTTCAATCTAATAGAGGCACATGAAAATGAAATTGGATAAAAAGTGCATCAAAATACCAAGTCTGAAGACAGATCATCTGCCACATGGCACGTCATCTGCCATTTTAAGCTTGACTTAATATTAGACAAGCTCAGTATCAGAAAGAATTCGGTGCCTTTAAATAAGCATGTATGACTTCTCACACAAAAATTCAGTTTAAATACATAATGAATGTTGCATTGGAATGACAATTTACAGTGAAATTGATGCAAAGGAAGAGGTAAACTGAGCTCAAGTGGTCAATTGGATCCATTTTAAATGTTAAAGTACTTTCTCTTAAACTGGTTTAAAGGTGCACGGAGTGGTTGACTTATAGCAGGGTGGTGTAACTCAATTCCTTGAGGGCCGAAGCCCTGCAGAGTTTTGTTCCAACCATAGACTGTATAAAAACAGTTCCAACACACATACCATGTAGGTATCCCTCAGGCAATCCATCTCATGAACACTTGACAATAACTGGAACACACAACACTATTTATACACCCATACACTTATTTATCTACACTTCAAATTTGCACATAATATACCTGTACATACAAAACTGTCTATTGTAATATACCTGCACATACAATTGTCAGTTTATATATTGTTATTACTTATTTACTTGTTCTATTTTTTTTATTATTTTATTATCTGTGTTTTTGTTCTGTTCTGGATTAAAGTCCAAAACCTGACTTGAAATAACCTAACAAATCAATCGGGACTAACGTGGTTTCATAAACGACAATTTAAGTTCACGCAATCTCACTAATTCGATCCAGGTTCAATGAGTCAGGATAATTTGATGTGCTCGCTTCTTCTCAAGCAGCCCTTAATGTCGATCATGGATCATATCGATCCACCATGGCAAACAGCGAATATTTGTGATGTTTACTGCATTTGAGACGTTGTGTTTTCCTCAGTGCATAACTGACACGTCACAGGTATATTTTTCATCTGTAAATGTTAGAAAGTCATGCAAATATATCCATTTTGCTGTCAGGAGCGGGCGAGGTTTACGTGAGTGAACGAGCGCTGCTGCACGCATGCGCGCTAAACAGATGGAACGCAATAGAATAATAGCGCAATAATTCTGAATAAAATATGCATTCTGCTAAAATATTTGTTGTTGGACATTAAATGTGACATGTAGAATTTTAATCCTACATATGTGTATTTGTTATGATAGCGGTAACTGTAAATCAATGTAAGCTAATACAGCCCTAATTACTAGCTCAAATTAGTTATTCCTCAACACATAAAATATAGTCTCTTTTATATTATTTATTTTCATTTTTAATTTAGTGATTTTAACTTTTAATTTAGTGTTTTTAATGCTTTAAAGAGCAATTTTATATTGTAATGTTTTAATGTTCTTCTAATAACCATAAGGTACAGCCGTCATAAAACCAGAGAGAAAGGCTGCATGGCTAGAAACTGCTGATCAACTGAATGCGCATGTAGCAGCATGTTAAAATGTTTTCAAATATCTTAAAACAAAATCATTAAATCTTGGACATAGTACATTAAATACAGTCGGTTGTAGCCTATATATTTTGATTTATTTGATTTATTTAAGTTGCATTTTCTGTATACTTTTATTTTTGGACTGATAATAAAGTCAAATAATTGTATGTGAGAGAGTCAGCGCCATAATATCAATGCGTTCCTATTGGTCAGTGTTAGAGGAGCTCAG